CACCCTCCTGTCCTCAGGTGTGGATGCTTTACCTCAGAGTTAGGTGTCATGCTTGATAACAGTGTAGTTGAGGCAATGTGGGGCTCAGAAGCAGCTGCAAACCTGTCTAGGAAGCTGGGTAAGTAATTCAGGAGGTTAGCCTGAACTGAGCTCTGGGCTGCTGTAGGCCTACAGTCAGCAGGGCCTAAACAGACCAGCAGAGTGCTGGCTTAAGTGCAAATATATGAGTTACAGCTACTCTCTGGCTGCAGTACAGACACAGCCTAAATACCAGAATTTTGGCCCTGCTGAATGTGGGTTTTGAAGGTCAGGGGAGAGCTAAGAATGGAACTCCAAAACTCCTCAAAGCATCCTGCTGGTCTATTGGTGAATACTGTTTGTTCGGCACAACACCCTCCATGCATTCCTTTGGTTCAGAGGCAGGCCTTCCTTTGAGCTGCATTATCATCCGGACCAGCCTGGGCCAGGCTGTGCTCTAGAAGTCCTCATGTGCATGACAGACAAGTGCCCAGCTATTCCTATATTTACTCTATTCCACTATTGTAAGCCACTTCTTATTCCACACCCATCAACCAACCCATGGGGCTCTTTAGCCTGGAAAAGCACAGGTTCAGGGGTGATCTGATGGCCACCTATAAGTTTATCAGGGGTGACCACCAGGATCTGGGGAAACATTTGTTCACCAGAGCGCCCCAAGGGATGAATGGTCATAAACTACTGCAAGACCATCTCAGGCTGGACATAAGGAAGAATTTCTTTACTGTCCAAGCCCCCAAGGTCTGGAACAGCCTGCCATCGGAGGTGGTTCCAGCACCTACACTGAACACCTTCAAGAGCAAATTGGATACTTATCTTGCTGGGATCCTATGACCCCAGCTGACTTCCTGCCCTTTGGGCGGGGGGCTGGACTCGATGATCTTCTGAGGTCCCTTCCAGCCCTAATGTCTATGAAAGCTATGAAATCATAGTCTCCACTGCTCTCACTTTCACTCTAAAGGCATCCTATTGCCAATACCTGAATGTGAAGGTAATACAGACCCTTCTGCACAGCTAGGAAATAAAGGCAGCTTTAGTTTAGACAAATCAGCAAACTGAGCAGGGCTCTTCATCTGGGAAGAATCTGACATGCAGCAATAAGCCTACCACCCTTGCTGCCCCCCACTTCATCTACAACATACAGAAGAGAAATGGAGGGAGACTAAAAAGGCAGCAACATGGCCCAGGGCCTGCTGAGAGCATTGTTGGCAGTGATGGGGGAGGAATCAGGAGTCCCAAGCATGTGCTCCTTCCCACAGAAATAATGCTTTAATATTAAATGATAAAATAAACAAAAACAAAAGGCCTGCATGAATCTGGGATTGCAGCTAGGGTGTTGCAGCAAGAGTGCATGGTACCTTCTCATGGTCCCAGCTGTGTTCTGGAGGAGACACTGTCGGAACTGAGGGACTGTGTTACCAAACGGCCCTCAAGAACTCCCTGGGGGCTGGCAGATGGAGCTCAGCTCCTCCTAGGATTGGGATCCTGAGAAGGTAGTGGTAGCATGGCACAGGTTCTGGATTCTGGCTATAAGAATGGGTTAATGTCTTTGGGCTGGGCCTCTTCTGGCCTGACACTGGTTTAGCAGCATTAAGGAATCTACAGCAAAGCCCTTTCACCCTGGCGCCTCTGGTTTTCTCCCCATGAGTTATTTAGGCCCTGACTGTCAGAGAGGCAGAGCGCAGGCAGACCCCATGGATCTCAGCAAGTGCTCTATCCACTGGAACCTGAGCCTGTCTTGTTTCTGGCCTTCCCAGAACACATAATTGGAGCTAGGATACCCACTGACTACATCTGAATCCAACCAAAAGGGCTTCCTGGGGTAGCCTGATGGCATACCAGCAATGTGGCAACAGTGCCAAGAGAAGTTGCTTTTGGAAGTGGCCTACTTCACTGCACCACAAGTAGGTGCTCAGGAGTCATGTGAGGTGGGGAAAAGGAATACAAGTCAGGTACAGCTCCAACCTTCATCAGCTCCAACCCTCATCATAACCAAGCCTCATCAGCTATGGGGGATGATTGGACAGAGGGGAAGAGAACATGCACTTCTTCCTGTCCCTAAGATCCATATTGGTATTGCAACAACACCTTTACCCCCAGGCCTGGATCAGACCCTCATTGCATTATGCACTGTATATACAAAATGCACCAAAAAAACCCACTGTATAGAGAATGCCAGAGTCATGTCCTACATACCCATCAGTGTGACAGTGAAATAACACTGCCCTTATACTGCAGCTAGTATGCACAGCACAGCCACCTTCCCTTACCATAAGCAACAGACAGGGAGGAAAGGTTGCTTACAGACCCCCTCCGGCAGATGGGAACCTGGAGAAGGCTCTTGCCTCCACTCCCCTCCCCCCAGAGGCACAGTGCAAACAGTTAATTTATTCACCTGCATGAGCTCCTGACAAACAGAGGCCTGGTCACACCTGACTGAGCAACTCAATTACCCCTATAATACCAGAGCAACAACACGCACAGACTCTATTATAGAGAAAAAAATCTTGCTTTTGGGCTTTTTAAATATCAGGTGCAAATGCAGGAGGAAGCAGTGCTTAATATGTATGGCAAAAGGGGAGGTCAGAATTGGGCTCTAACCCCACAACAGGAGGGAATGTTATTCCAGCAGTTAGAGCACAGGGTCAAGAACTCCTGGGTTATGTTCCTGGATGTGCTACTGACTTGCTGTGTTAACCTCCATGCTCTGTGCCTCAGCTTCTGCACATCAGCTGTGAACAAGACACAGAGGCCTGATCCACGAGGGAAGGCGAGATGTATCAGCTCTGCTCCTGTTCTCCTCCTATTACCAGACAGCAGGAACCTGGGCTTCCTTCCAGGTGTTAAGCTAGATCTGACCATGTCCATAGTCTATAGCCTGCAAAGCCTGCAGCCCAAGAAAAAAAAATCTGGACTGCACTCATCTCATATCACAGCCTATTTCTGTCCCTGCCAAGGGACACTGAGATGCTACAGCAATGGAAGACAGGAACTTATGTAGATGGTAAGCCAGATGTGGAAGATCTTAAGTTCTGAGGCCACAAATGGTTCAGGAAGTTGGTCCTCAGCCCCCTACCTTGCTCACAATGTAGATGATATCACCACGCTGAAAGGACAGCTCATCTGGGTAGTCGCTGATACAGTCCCACATGCTTTGGTAATAATTTGCATAATCTTTCATGGAGCCTCCTAGAAAGAGACAAAGTGAGAGAGATAAGAGCAGTGGACAATGACCAGAGGATTCTCCAGTTTCTCAAGGGAGTGGCCTCTGTACCGGCAACTCACTCCCCAGCAAGAAATGGTATGAGCTGACTGGAAAATTTCAGGTTTTTTCGTAGTAACTCTGGAACATTTATTATGTTTAAAAAAAAAATCCCTGTGAAAATTCTCTGTTTTTTCTAAAAACTGAAATTAAAATAAGCAACAAAAGAAATACTTCTTTTCAGGAAATGCTTTTGGTATAAAAAGTCACTTATATACCAAAGTCTTGCAGCTTTGGAAAATGCCAAATCGAGAACATTTATTAAAAACTGAACTGGAGATTGAAACATTTTAACCAACAGCATTTTCTGTTTGATCGCAGATCCCACTTTTTTTACCAAAACAAAACCTGACGTTTTCTACCAAGAGGAAATGTTTCTATGAAAAAGTCTATTTTTAATGAAAAAGCTGTTCAGATTGGTGGTAGGAGGAAGAGTAATCAGTCAGGCCAGACATATCAGAAAGAGCCCCTGCATGGACGTCATGTCTGCCTCGGCAAACCAAGGGCCTTGGATGGCCACTAACCACCATGTACCTGGAAGGATGGTGCTGGGGAAGGTAATGAATGGGTTTATTCATTAATAAAGCAAGGGATTCTATCCCATCTTGTAATCAAGCAGCAGCAACCAGCTCATGATCCCATACCAGCTTCCTCCAGTCCCAGTGAATTTGATGGACAAAGTCTTTCCAGGGTACCCAAACCCACAGTCAGGTGTGATATATGACAGCGTTCCAGAAATTAATGATAAAATGGCTTCCCACACTGTATGTTTGTTAAAAAAGTGGAAAGCTACTCAGCAGCGGGGAACACTGATAGAGGTACTGTCAAACGCACCCATTGTTTACGACTACGTAGAGAAGTGATGTGGTCCAGTAAACGATCATTGCACACACAATCACTTTATTACAAAACTACCATTAGTTTCTGGAACACACTCATACCATGATGACATGCCAGCAGTTACTGGGGAACTAAACCATGGCCTTCTGCTCAGGTTAAGGAGTCCCAGCCGATGCTGTAGTTATGCACTGGACTTTTATTCTTGCTGGACCTGAGCAACAGAAGGAGAAGTTTGCATAATAAGCCACAATACTATAAAGACACATCATGTTCCACCTCACAGGCATGGGCAGCCTTAACTAGAAGCCTCAGCTGTGGTCTGGAGGACAGGAGAGGGTCTAGGTCAGTGATTCTCAACCAGGGTGCTAGGGCATCCTGGGGTGCTGCAAGATCTTTTGAGGAGTGTCAGGAGGTGTGAGGAGATCAACAGAAAAACTAAGCAGATAAGCGCAGGCTCAGGCTTGTCCCTGCCTGTATGATCCTTCATCCCCTGTGCCAGGTCCCATGGCAAGGAAGTAAGCACTGTAATCTATAAATTAGTTTTTGAAACTGGGTGCCACTCAGTTCACAAAAGTTATGGAAGGGTGCCTCAAGTCCAACGAGGGGTGCCTTGAGCTGAAAAAGTTTGAGAACCACTGGTCTAGGATGGGAACAAAGAAAACTCTATTCTAAACAAATGGTGACATTTATTCTGAAGAATGGTTTATTTGCTGAAAAGTGCATTTGAGGGTCCAATAAAAAATAGCTGTGAATTTTTGCCAAATTTGGTCATTACTTTGGCTGAAAAAAAAAAAGAAGAATATTTTGGCAATCCTGCTTCCCAGTAAACATTTCAATTTTTCATTTCAAAATGAGGTTCCTAAATTTAAAGCTAAAAAATAGAGCTTTCTCCATCCCCCAACTTCCACTGAAAATGACACACATCACTTAATTTCAGGTCAAGCAAAAATTTTTGGTTGACTCAAAACATAGTATTTCCCCATCAATTCTTCAAATGGGGGGCTCAGGTGGCATGGGTGCTACAGACGCACAGTTAACTGCCCAGAGACCACAAGTTCAAGGCACTCATGTCACAAAACTGTAATTGAAATTAAATTATTCCAATGAATCTGCAAATTCTGCTAAATACCTTGTCACACAGGGACACGAAAAAGGAAGGAAGTTCTTCAATTCAGTTCAAGCAAAAATATCAGCTCTACTTAGGTAGCAACTTTCATCTGAGGAAGAATCATTATGCTCATTTTACAGACAGGGAAGTTGAGGGACAGAGAGGAAGCAGTTTGCCCAAGGCCACTCAGTAGATAAATTGCAGAGGCAGGCCCATTTGTTGAGCTGTGACAGCAGAGCTAGCTAGACCCACCAGGAATCAGAAGCCCTCTCAATGGCTAGAGGGAGACTACAATAGCTAATTCTTCTGGACAACAAATGACGAACAGAAACGAGTGAAGGTTACAGGTTAATAGCCAGGATGCCCAGTGAGGACACCACACAAAGAGCTCCAGCCAGACCTCACTACTCCCTGAAGGCATCTAAAGAGCCACTGGATGCCACCCAGTGAAACTCTGCTTGGAAATGCAAGTGGACAAGGGCAGGGAAGACAGCCCTGCAGTTGCCCACCGTCCCCTCCAGCCAGCACCTCCTTCCTGGTCTGATAAAGGGACAGTTTGGCCAAAGCTAAGAGAAGATTAGGCAGAAGGTCCTGGGATTTTGAGGTCCTAGGGAAAAGGAATGAGGTATCACCTTTCCCAATACTCTGTGCTAACCATCAGATCAGGGCTGTCCAACTTCAGTATGGCCATACGCCGCTGAGGCATTCCCCCTTGGGGTGCCCCCGCATCACATGGGCAGTGCCACTGGCAGTAGGAGAGGCAACCGCATGGGCCACATGTTAACTGCTCCACTTGGCCACCAGTTTGACAGCCCTGCAAGAAATCGTATGTTTTGACTGGGGGTTAGATAGAACAGCGTTCTAACGGTGCAGCACTGAATTGAGGATGCCTCAAGATGCAACGATATAGACAGCTCCCCAATGAATCCAGTGGATAAATAAACCCACTTAAACAACATTCCAAGGGCTCCGATTCAAACCTGGAATTGAAATGGATAGGGTTATATACCAGTTTGACGCAACAGCGCATCAAGCCCAGGAAACATAAATGGAAAATACTGAGCGCACGTTGGAGAGAATGTTTCTAATATTGTGTAAGGGACTGAAAGATAAGGGCACATCTGGAGTACTGTGCCCAGATTTGATCACCTAAATATGAAAAAAGACATTACAGAGATGGATAATGTTACAGCAGGGAGCAACTGGAATGACTCAGGGACTTGGGGAACTTAAATAGAAAGGCTGGGAAAAAGTAGGTCTGTATCCTTTGGAAAAATATTAAAGGGGGAGTGCGCAGTGGCAGGGAAAAGATTGTGAAGGGAATAGAGAGGGCAGGAGCTACTGAGTTATTTAAGCTTGTGTAAAGTACAGGGGTTATGAACTAAAGCAAAAAAAATATCAGGAGGTGCCTATGTAGAAATGGTGAGTGAATAGCTGGTAACAGACAGAAAGAGTAACTAATGCAAGGAGGTTTGGGGGTTTTCTTTTTGTTATAAATGGAACCCAATGAGGGCAACTCTTCAGTGAGCAGAATAACTCAGTAATGGGGTAGGCACAGGCCCCAGACCTGTTGATTTTCTCCTATGGGATACACAAGCACAAAATGTGGGAGAAAAAGGAGACCCATGACATATAACACTGAAACAAGCTGACCTCACTTATTGCAAAGAAACTGCACAAGTGATTGCTTAAAATATCAGTAATCCTACAGAGCATTAGAATTAAGTCACTAACAAATACGTTTAAAGTAAAATGGCCACCAAATTCAGAATGCATTGGGTTTCAGCCAGGGACAGGTTCTTCCCTCCCCACCACAAATATGGGTTTTTTTTTGAGAAAATGGAGATTTTGGACTGAAACTGAATGCTTTATATTGCAAGGGGTTTCTGAAAGCAAGAGCTACACAGAGTCTATTTACCCTTTTTAAAAAGCTTTTTAGCTCAAAGAGTTGATGGGTCTGGCAGATCACCAGGAGTTACAGAGTACAATCCTGGAAGATAAAGACACTACTGAGAAGCTGAAAGTAGTTCTTTGCACCACCTTTCATTAACTAGTTAAGGACACCTGGGTGATGTGCAGCATCCAGGACTTTTCTGGTAACAAGTGATGGGATGATCCAAGTTAAGTTGAAAGAAGAATTTCTGGAGCAAACTGATAATTTTTAAAAGCAGTAAATCACCAGGCCAACACGGAACATCCAAGAATTTTGAAATGTATGACGTACCTGAAGGGGCTGAGAGGTTACCATAAAATATGCAATCTCTTTTTTAAAATAGCCATTGGTTCCAGGGATCAGAGCAGCAAATGTAGTACCTATATTCAAGAAAGGCTTGAGGGGTGATCTGAAGAATTACAGACCTGTAGGCCATACATCTGTACCTAACAAATGGTTTGAAATCATAAATAAAAATAGGAATCACAAAATATTTAGAAGATCATGACCTGACAGGGTCTCATATGAGTGAATTCTAGGGCAAAAAAAAAAAAAAGTCATATCTCACTAATCTCCCAGAATTTTTGAGGATGTCATCAAGTAGTGGATGAACCACTCTACATAATTGAGACTTTTGAGAAGTCCTCTTGAGCCTCTGAAAAGTTCCTGAACACAAAAACAGTCTTAAAGAAACAGAGCATTTTAGAACAAGAAGAAAAACTACAGTAATTAAGAGGCAGAAAGGAGGAATGAAATGGTCATTTTTTGTCATTATAAAACATTAGCATTAGGTTACCTCAAAGTTCAGCATTAGGTTCTGCACAATTGAATATATTTATTTAAGGATTGACAACATATGGACCATGGTCTGAAGCCAGTCTGCTTTTGTCTTTGCCTGTGCTCATGTTGGGACTGAGCAGTGAAGAACTGTGCCAGGACTAGGGAGCTAGAAGCAGTGCCCGCATTACTGCCACTTTTCTCCACTCCCTCTGACATCCCTAACTGGGCTGGGTGGGGGATGTGGGGAGAAGCAGCAGCATGGAAGC